CCCTCCAAAATACTCCCCCCGCCCCATCCCAGCCCCACATCTCCTTTTGGGGGGCTCCCTGGTGCGTGTCCCTGCTTTGGGGTCCCTGCACCATGCCGTGCTCCCTCCGGCTGTGCCCCCACGCGGGACAGTGTGCCCCTGCCATAAGCACCCCTGGGGACATGAGCCGGGGGGTGGAGGACAGCGGTAGATGCGGAGCTCCAGCTCCGTGGTGGCCCTGCAAAGGTGCACCCAGGGAGGGGCAGAGGGAAGCACTTCGCCATCCGAATCCTTGCTACGGCCCTGGGTGCAGCATGCCTGGGGGACCCCCAGGTCCCCTGAGCCAGGGGTTACGTCCAGGAGACACCAGGCCCTGTTTCTCGTCATGCTCCGAAATTTCAGCCTTGTAAAAAAAAACCTCACGGGCCTGCACAGGGCGTCTGCAATGAGATACTCTTTCCTATAGTAGAAACGCCAAGAAGCCAAAGAAAACCGTGCTGTCGTGTCACCTACAGATTGGGGAGTGGGTGATGAGGAGCGGAGAGCGGATCGCTGACACTGAACGGAGCCACAGCAGCTGACCACAGTTAGATCTGGGCCGTTACATGAGCAAATACCGCATTTCTGGGCAAGACCATGTCTCATCTCCTCTTACGGGGCTCCAACAGCATTTCTGAGCAAGCTTATTTCTCCTCGCCTCCTACCAGAGCCCGACCGATCCTGCAAATGGACGAGCGGAGCTTGTACAAAGGGACCGCTTGTGATAGCGGCTGGGTTTATTGCCATCCCCTGGGACAACATACGCAGGGAAAAATCAAGTTTGGCTTGTGCAGAAGAAGGGTTGGGGGCAGGAGCCTGCAGGGTTCCATCCTCTCCTCTCTGATGTAGGTGTCTGAGATGGAGAGCTGTCTGTTTAGACTGCGCTCACTGGCTTGAGGAATATGTGGCGTCCACGGTATGCATTTGTTCTGTTTTTCCAGGTTTGGAAACCAACGGGAGGGAGAAAAATTAATCACGTAAACCTTTGTTAGGGACCAGCTATCAAAAACCTTCAAGCTGGACCTGAGGCTTACAAGGCCTGCCCTTTCCAGCCCGGCACAGGCCAAGCTGTGAAGGCATCGGTGCAGCAAGCAAATGAGCAAGTCCAAAATTAATCTGAAGGATGAAAATGAGCCTTAGGAGTGACAGCGAGATTTCAAGGAAGGAAGAACCACTTGGGAGAGACTAAACTCCTAACCCTGGACCTTTATCTCAGCCACACCTAGTGCAGATATGTGCTTCAGGAGCAAAAAAAATCTCAATCTTCAGCTCATAGAGAAAAAGGATGGTAACAATGCGCCTTACCTCCAGCGGGGACGGGCAGCGGTGCAGACGATGGAGGGCAAAATCAACCCATAAAGGCATAAAAACAGGGAAACCTCAGTAAATACTGCAGGTTGACTGCCGCTAGCTTAAACAGACCTACTCTCAAAAAAAAAAACCCCAAAACAAAAACCACCAAACCCCCTCAAAAGAAACCCAAAACAACAACAAAAAAACCCACTCTCTGAGAGAGGCCTCCACCAACTCTGATAAAGCCCTTTCCACCTGCCTTAATTAAAAGAATAATTAGATTTTTTTTTTTGTTACCAGCTAACTTTGCTTTTAATTAAGCTGATTACACACAGCTGGGCTAATTAGTGTGCAGTAACCTAATTTCCCAATATAAAGACAGAAACACACAGCTGATAATCAAATTATTTTGTGTGCATCACTTTTTTATATGCATGTATATTCGCGGTATGAGTGTATAGACATATTGGCCCACGGATTACAGCAAAATTTCCTAGATATGGTAATATCCTTAATTAACCAAACAAACCCAAACTTCGTAGGAAAAGCCCTATTTTCCAGATGAGCCGGACTCGTGCCCCACCTCCTGTTCTCCCCTCGCTGCTGATTTTTCGCTGCCCAGCGCAGGATGGTGATGGTGCAGGAGTTCCTCTGCTTGATTTGTATTTTTTTTATTATATCTTTTTATATTTTTTTTTTTATTTCACGGAGGGAAAAACCCGCGGGAACTTTTAGCGCGTTCCTCGGCGCGGCCGTTACCAGCGGAGGTTCCGCAGAGCCGCGGTTGATGCCGGCGCGGTTCCGCGGGGGATGAGCAGCTCCGGCTGCCCAAAAAAACTGCCCGTGTCCCTGCGGGGGTGGAGGAGGAGAGAAAAGGAGTCGCGGGTGCATCCCTCCAGCGACTCGCGTTATCTCCGAGCAAGAGGCAAACGGCTGTCAAACACCGCCTTTCGCTTTCTCCTTGTGGGGAAAAAAATAAAATAATAATAGCCATAAAAAGATAAAAATAAAAATCGCCTCCGCTTTTCCTCCCTCTTCGTTTCATTATCCTCATTTTAAATCTTTCTGCAGAGCAAAAGGGGGGGGGGACGACGACAGGGGACACAGGACCCCTCGGAAGCCGCAGCCAAACCCCAAAAATATCCTTTCGAGGCTGCACCGAGATGGGGAATCATTTGCACCAAACGCACGAATGTTTGCAGCAGCCGGGCCGGGCGCTCCGCGGCTCCTCCGCGCACTGCGGAGTGCTCCGCGGAGCCCGGCAGAGGCCACAAACTCCTCAAATATAATTACGCGTGTTACACCGCATGCTCGTTTATTTGCTGCTCATACAATCGTGAAGCCCATGTACAAATAACATACATGTTTTATTTCGGTTCGATTTTTTTTTTTCCTTTAGGGACAAAACGTACACAAAAGGGCAGGGCGAAAAAAAAAATAACCCACATAATTACAATTTTATACAGTGCAGAAAGAATTAAAATAGGTGTCACCAAACTGTACAAAGTCAGGGCAAAAAAAAAAATATAGAGGGGGAGGGAAGGGAATAATCCTTCATTATATATATATTTCTATAAAAACATATGGAGGATTGTCTTTACACAGAGACCATGATCGGTTTAAAATTTACAAAGGTTAACTAAAAAAAAAAATCTATATGGCAAATATTGCCAACAGAGATTCACTGATTTAATACTGATCAACTGAGACTACTCGTGTCTCGATTATTAGCAACGACGACAAAAAAAAAAATGTAGAATAAATAACAGAATGAGCATGGCTGTCTCTTTTCAAAGTGCCTTATTCTCTCTGCATAGGGTCTGATCCTGCAGTCTTAATGCAGGAAAAAAAAAGAAAATATTAATAGCTAAAAAAAAAAATCCCTCTGAGAGATTTTTGGTGTTTGCTGGCGGGGAAAAAAA